AAGTCCTATGACACCCCCTGGTACCCCCCAGGATTTTGGGGTTACCTACCGATTCGAAGATTGAAAGACAATCGCACCCCCCCGTATCATGACATAGACCACAGATTTGCCATGCAGATGTGCCAGTGAGTACTAATCTGCGCGACTTGTGTCACCCCCTGACCCGGGGCGGACCGGGTGCCAAGCTAAATTACACGCGCGCGCGTCATAATAATCTTAAAAGTAGACCCCTGCGTTTCGTCTACCCTACTGACCAGGTATTTAAAAGTGGCAAATATCGAGGGCGTGTAGCAGCGATGGCAATGAAATTCCTTTCATTGCTGGATTGTTTAGTGTCACAAAACTCACAAAGAAATAAACATAATACGTTAACGTACCTTGTCGTCATATAGCTGGCATATCCTCTGCTTTTCACTGTGAGCTGACTTCAGCTTGTTATTCAGGAAGTCCGCCTCAGTCTTCGCTGCCTTCTCCGCCGCCGCCGCTCGGTCGGCCGCTCGCCTCGCTTCCATCCCCGCGCATTCTACGCTCGCGTAGCGCATAACCGCAGCGTCTCACTCTCTCCCTAAGAATCCCGTTCTCTTATCTCTTTCTAAATTACTTTCGCTAACTTAACACGTAGTTCGCGCAGCGTGCTTCGATGGCCGCACACTCTATTCACACTCCGCTGGCTACAAATTTTTATCTTGCAACACATTAATCTGCTGTCTCACTCTCTCCCTAAGAGTCTCGTTCTACTCTTTCTTCTAGTGTGTCACAAAGGAACAAACTAAAATACATAAAAAATTAATACGTACCTTATCATCGTACAGCTGGCATATCCTCTGCTTCTCGCTATGGGCCGACTTCAGCTTGTTATTCAGCAAGTCAGCCTCAGTCTTCGCTGCCTTCTCCGCCGCCGCCGCTCGGTCGGCCGCTCGCCTCGCTTCGATGCCCGCGCATTCTACGCTCGCGTAGCGCATAACCGCAGCGTCTTTTTCGCGCTCCGCTAGTTCTACGCGTTTGCCCATCTGGAAAATATACGTCATCATCAAGTCATTAAGGCTGACGTTAAACCAGCGTGTTTTAATAAGCGTTCGAGTTCCAATACTTTTTTGCGTCGTTGTGAAGTTCATAAAATACTTTTGACAAAAAACGCGCCGTTAATTTGACCCATTTATCTAGCCTTTAGGCATCACCCTACAGTCAATAGAGGCAGAGCAGTAAAGAAAAATGTTGCAAAAACGGGAAATAATTATTCAAACTATTTTCACGCGTACGAAGTCGCGGGCCCAGCTAGTGTATACAATATTGATGCTAAGAATAAGGACAATAACTCACAGCATCTAATTTAGCTTCCAATTCCTTGAACGTCTGATCTTTGTCTTGCAATTCGTCCATCTGCTGTTTCACTCTCTCCCTAAGAGTCCCATTCTCCTTTCTCTGTTCCGCCAGCAACCTCTCTAACGTTTCCACTTGAAGTTTCAGTACGTCTTTCTTTGAATCACTCTCCAATTCTGTATCGTGTTCCGATTTTGTATCTGAACCAATATTAAGCAGTGACTCCGAACTACCTTCTGTTTTATTCATACCGTTAAGTTTTGGAGGCTTTTCTTCCACGATTTCATCTTCGAATATATCATTCATCACCTTTCCATTCGGAATCGGTTTTGATATAGGCCTAACCGGAGCTTTCTGCATTGACATCCTGTGTGTATTATTGTATGCATTCTTCAAACTCCCACTTACAGTGGAAAATATTCCGTGTACGTTCTTAACTATGCTTCCTAAGTCTTGAGGGATTAGTTCTTTAGGCAATCTGGCGTACCGGTAGTCAGGATTGTGAGGATTTTCCGGAATTTTCTGAGTAGCTAAAACTTTACTCTTCTGACTTGTAAAGTCCGATAGAATCTGATCAGCGTTAATATCTTTGTTACTACTCGACTTATCGCTTGGATTTGGTTCAATCGTGGATATGTTTTCCGCACTCCTGCTGTATGGAGACTTACAAATAGCTACATTATTGGAAAAAGTGTTCTGGTCATTCAAACTTACGGTAGACGTAGTGAATTCTCTGTTACTGACATTGTTGATGTCTGTGCCGGTAAACTGATAACTTGGCGTGACTTCAGCCTCATTTTTAGCTTTAGAATCAGGTACAGAAGCTGTTATTTGATTGATGTCTAAAAGAAGTTCATTATTAACATCTTTGGTGAAATTACTGTCGATATCCTCGGCTTTGGTCAACGAGAACTCTTTGCCACACAAAGCATTGTCAGACAGATCGTTGCTATCCGGAGAAATGGAGAAAGGACTTGATAATGAAGACTCACTTTCAATTCCATCAGTAGGACACGACCCGATTTCGTTACTTGGCAAAACATTATCAGGCTGTTTCACTGGCGACAGATCGGAGTCAGATGAACCAGGGTACGCTGCAGAATACGACTCGAGGGTATCAACACCTGAATCACTAGTTATTTCGCACACAAAAGCCTTTTCTGTAGACGAAATATCGACGTCAACACTATCAATATGCGCAGAGATTTCTTCGGACTCTACGGACATTTTTCTTTGGGGATATTTTTATTTGCGAACTGAAAGTTTAAATTTTAATGTTAACAACGATAAAGCCATGTAGGAACGCGTTTTATATTATTTTTAGTAAAAAATAAACATAGACTGATTTTGACGTTCGTGATAAATTTTGACAGATGAGAGGATGAAGGATAGGTTGTTTTTGATAGCCAAAAAATAAATAAATTGGTATAAATTTATTATAATCAATTATACATTTATTTTAATGAAGTGGTTTAAATTTTGATTTTTTTTCTATACTATTTTGTGAATTTTTGTGCAGATCAAATGATGCTTTCAAAATTATTTATTTTCAAACCAAAAACACAAAAACGACATACAAAAGTACCCATTTAGCGATGTAGTGTTGCCATTCAATCCATTACTGTAATTTTAGTAGTTTATTTATTAATTTTGATAATATTTAATATTTCGCTCAATTTTATTTGGACAAACATGAACACCAAAAAAGTCTTGTCTCATTTTTTTAAATAGGTAAAAAAAAAATTGTGCCGTATCGTTATGATTTTCGTATTTATTTAATGCCATAAAGTAAATTTATAAAATTTTATTAAGTTTATAAAGTGTAGAAATTCACTACTAAAGTTAACTAACGTTTTTTGTAAAGAATCCGGTCACTGGCTGAATGCACTTCCCTCCAAAAATCTCGGAACATTTTTTGACAACGATTCTTTCCGGGTGTGTGTGGGCTTACGCCTCGGAGCAACAATCTGTGTACCCCATACGTGTCCCTGTGGCAAAGAGCTGGACCAATTCGGTCACCACGGTCTATGTTGCCAGCAAAGTGCTGGTCGTCTCGCTCGACACGCTGCTCTCAACGACGCCATTAGGAGATCCCTTGCCAGCATCAACGTTCTTTCCACGTTAGAACCACGTGGATTGGTCCGTGATGATTGCAAGAGACCTGATGGTCTCACTCTGGTTCCCTGGGAACGGGGACGGGCTTTATAGTTTGGGACACTACATGTGTCGATACTTTAGCCCCTTCCCACCTCAGGGAATCAGTTGCTAAAGCTGGGGCTGCAGCGAAGTCGGCTGAGTTAGCCAAACGGCGCAAATATGAGTCACTCTCTAATGACTACATATTTGCGCCTTTTAGTGTCGAGACCTTCGGACTTTGGGGACCGAATGCTAAATTACTGTTTCGGACCATTTCCCCTAAATTAATTTAAAATTTCGGAAAATCTAAATGCTGGCTCTTTCCTTGCACAAAGGCTTAGTATTGCCATTCAGCGGGGAAATGCAGCCAGCATCCTCGCCTCTTTGCCTCACGGACACACTTTTATTTTTGAGTAAAATAAATTTATTATTCATTTATTCCATAAACAATAATAGTTAGAGTTAAGTTTGCCTTAGTTTTAAAAAAAGTGAGTAGTACCTTTAAACGATAGTTTCCACTCCATATTATTATAACAATCAGCAGGCCTATAGAAAGTTAAAAAAAAATCATAAGAATGAAGAATGTTCACTAATTTTGTTTCTTAGCTTTCTGTATTCTCTGTTAAAAATAAAAAATACACGTGAAAGAATTATTTCGATACGTCAATTAGTTTCCAAGATATTGAATTTTAAAAGTGCGGGCGGCGGCCGGCCCGCCATTTTATGCGCGTGACGTCATATTACAGTGACTGGCTCATATTTGTATGGGTGGAATCTTGCAAGCTGAATTAAGACCCACTTCCAGGCTACCGATTAAGCTGAAATTTCGCAAACACATGTGATTTGGATGACCATGCAATATTATAATGACATGGAGCTGATCTGATGATGGAGCTGGAAGGTGGCCATAGGAACTCTATAATAAAACGACTTAAATCCATCGAGTTTGGGCTCGTTCGTTTTGTATTGATAAGTACTTTAATTCTATATAGTAATCAGGGTCTAATGATGGAGCTGAAAGGTAATTCGCAATAAAACGACACAATCGCATCAAGTTTGGATTTGGTTCAATTTTAATTTCTGTGATGGGTCTGGGTGTTAATATGTATAATAAGTTTGTATTTACAAAAAAAAATGTACTATTTAAGTATGTTTATATCCGTTTTCTAGTAAGCGGACACTGTGAATGTACGTCACGCGGGGTCACGTGACCGTCGGCGGGACTCAATATTTAAGCGGACTTTGAATGCCTATAAAATCATAACTACTGGGTATTTTTGAATGAAATAAAAACTAATGTATTTGTAAATGTAAAAGCCTAACTGTAACATAGGTTTCAAGTGATTTTGCATACCTAGTAACATTCTCAATTCAAGTAGGTAGGTAGTAGGTACCTACTCATGACCAGCCGATCGAACTTTACTGATACCCGATTTGATTGGAACGAATAACGTTTACGCTCAAAATAAGACAGCAAGGTGGATTAAAGTCACTGAATTCATTTAAAGGCGTTAAATAACGTTATAATCACCGGATGTGATGTACTTCTATAACCTATAAACCTAAATCCTAAAAAATAATCCAACAAAATACACTAAAAATCCTTCACTAGGATCACACGTAGAATATGCGTTATTATTATTTTGCGGAATGAATAAATTTAAAAAATTTACAGCATTTTGAATGAAAACAAATATCATCTTCATGATTTGCTGATAAAATTCCAAAGTATAGCCTGACCAGGAACATAAAAACCCTGGCACAGAGGCGCTTCAATTGCATTTGATAGTGCAACACTGAGTACAGTCGTACATGTGTTAAATTAATAGGCTAAATTTATATATCAGGATTCAGGATTACGGGCTAATTTGATATTTTCATAAATTAACGAAAAATATTATTAAAGATAACCTGGTTTAAATAAATTAAATGAAACCATCAATCGAGCTAGTAGGATTTATTTTATTATTCATCAATAATCAAATTCAGAACATGAATATTCAACTGCAATGTCTGCTCATGAACGCTTCAAACTCGGTACTTCTTTCCCAATTCCATAAAATTCAAAACTTAGAAAGTGACAAAAAACTTTAAAATAGGTAGTTGAAACAGACTACAGCTAATTTTCATAGTGGACTGTACTATACGATAAACATGTCAGTCAATTTGACAACCTTTGTCGGAAACATTATTCAATGAAAATATTGTCCGAACCCTTAGTATTTCTCTTCGACAAATACATTAACACATCGTGAACCACTTTTCTTTCACGACTATAAAAATATTTTAGCAATTTAATTCACAAAATCAATTGCACACATTTAAAATAAAGTTTGTTTACACTTTGACAACAATAGACTGACATGCAAGGTGACATGTCAATGAAGTTTTCAGTTACTGTTGCCATTAAAAGAAATTAGTACCATTAGTTTTCCGCAACATGGCGAGGGTTTTTATGTTCCTGGTCAGGCTATAGTATGTAGAGATGGGTTTCCACCCGGGTAAAAACCCACATGAGGGTAAAAACCCAATAAAAACCCGTTTCATTCCACCCGTGGGTGTTTACACCGGGTGAAAACAAATAATTTTATAATTATTTCAATTGGTATCTTTTCTTTATTTTTATTGAATTTTTCTCATTTAAGTTTATTGATTAATAAGTAATAAGTCAAATTTAACACTAATATGCATTTATATCGTGGCCAAATTGTAAAATTGATCGCGTTATGATGATGTGACCAATTATTTTATAAAATGGTGTTATTTCAAGAATCGTTGAACCGATTTAGAAGAAATTTAGTAGGAACACAATAATTTGTGATCATGGCAAGGACATGGAGGGGGGGATGCCAAAGATGCCAAACTCTATCTTTGATGACATTACGGTATAAAGTTACAAATAACAACACCAACTACAAAGTACTTCTGCTTAAAAACTTGAAATCGAACCATTAACGCATTGTAACGTTTTTTAAGACCTCCTCTCCCCCCAGAGCCCCGATTACGGTAACTTTTAACGTCTACAATCCAGACGCGTTTCTGATGCGTTTCTGATTCTGCAATACGATTGGTCAAAACAGCTGACGTGCGCTGTTGAACGACCAATCGTATCGCAGAATCGAGCAGCGTGTCTGGATTGTTGACGTTAAAAATTACCGTAATCGGGGCTCAGATTACATTACGTAACACTAGAACGCCCCCTTAGCAACAAATACCACTTCTCACTTTAAAAAAACGCTATTTTTGTTTTCACCCACCAGAATGGGTGATAATGGGTAAAAACCGGGTTTTTACCCAAATCACCCAGTTTTAACCCAATCGGGTGAAATGGGTTTTTACCCACTACCCATCTCTAATAGTATGTAGTTAATCGAAAGTAGCGCCCTCACTTCCTGGTTTGTTTGGTAGTATTTTGTTAAAAACACTAGCAACATTAGTAGAAAATGTCACGTCATTTCCATTTCGCTCGCAAAGGGAATTGAAACGGAAAAGTAGGTCGACGGTATTGATTTTTACAATATTCGGCAAACAAAAGACGTGTCTCTCGGTGTCGCACAGAAGCAATAACGTTCCTGTGATCCAGCCAGTGGGGGAGCTCCAAAAATGCCTGTAAGTGAACTTTTCTTATCACGCGGTGCCCGGATGTGTGTTAGTCATGATTTCATAACCATTTCTTATATTTAATTCCGATAATCGCGTGTTATAGCATCATGGTCAATGTGGCGATATAATTTCATTGTTCATCATGTACTTGGGTGACGCCTTTTGTGTGAAGTCGTTGAATTTTTTAGTTACAACCGCGTTGTGACTCATCGTATCTCAGGGTCATTTCACATCTACCTAGGTACTCGAGTTAGCATTGTGCGTAGTAACTGCCGTCCGTCTATTACCGTATAATTCATTACTACGCGTCTGCATCGCTAGCGAAACGTGTTAGAATAGAAAGATCGTCATTTCGTCAATGATGATTTTTATCTTTTCTCGCGAGTCGCAGTTAAAATGGCGCACATGTGGGGGTCGATATTATCGAGGTTTTCCTAGTAAGTACGTACTTCTGTAGCACGCTCTGACCGTTTATTCTGCTAGCAAGGTCACCTCTATCCTTTTTAATGTTAAAATTGTCCGAGTCGTTGAATTTCTAAGCGTAATTTTTCTTATTGGTTGGTCCGGTTTGCTAATCAGCAAAAGTGTTGACCCACTTTCCACTTTGAACCACAGCTGAAAGTAAAAGTAATACATAATTACGTTATCATGAGCTTTTTGGTATTTCATTGACGTATTACACTTTTTTTCTTATTCTAATACTTATTCTTATTGGTACTCATTCGTCCTTCATTTTTTACTCTAAAAAAGTCTTATCTGCACCCCAAGGCGTAAATTAACGTAAATGATACTATCTTAAAAATGCTTGCTTATTATGAGCTTGAATAAAATCATCACCTTTTTAAATTAACGATTAAAATTGTCTGACAAGTACTTTTATTGTATTTAACAATTCTAGACTTCTAATTAGTCACAATCAATCTAGATCTATCAAAATGAAATAAAAAGTTCTATCGTTAAAATAACTTCAATCAAAGAATATTAATTACTGATCAATGTGGTAATTATATAATTTTAACTTGTGACCGAATAGTTTCCAACAATGTTTATGTTAAAACAATTATTTTTTCGTAACAATAAATTAGGCCCACACTAAATAAATCAGTTTCATTTCGCTGCACTTAATTTATTGATTGAAAACGTGATTTTCTTCTAATTGTATTGTAGTTACATACATTAAATTAAAAAGCAAAGTTAGAATACACAGCACAAGAAATACTATTTAAGTATTTCTTGTGCTGTGTATTCTAACTTTGCTTTTTAATTTAATGCACAAGAAATATTATTTATCAATAGCACAAGAAATATTATTTCTAAAACGTAATATCTGTTATACATTTTTCATTTTGTATCAGCTAAAAAGCAATTGTAAATGATCTTAAAATAAGTCCCAATTACAGTGTAAACTCTAACATTATTCGATTTAACGACAAACTCCTTAATCGCCGCCTTAGTCTCTCTACTCGACCTGTGGTTGACTGGCAGATAATGCCACCTGGCATTAAGTCCGCCACTGTACAGTTGTATGTGCAAAAGTGTAAATAAATAAATAAACGTCGAAATTTTTTGTCTATTTACCCGACTGCGCCAGAAGGAGGGTCATGTTTTTGCTTCACCTTGTTCTCTACCATCTTTACCATTTAACGTCGAAAACTGCGTCGTTATGCAGAGTTTACACTTATCGTTATAAAATACGTCCAACGCAAAAAGTTGCACGATAAATATAAAAACAGCCATATGTCATATCTGGGTACATCAATACCGACATTCGGCCCAGTTTCGACCTAGTGACCTGGTTTTTCGGCCTCCATTTTGCCACAAACGATGTGCTCAAGCCATTCCAAGAGAGGTTCTGTAGTAGCATGGTTCAGTGTTGAGTGGGGGCACAAATTGGACTTAACATTTTAGTACGTTACACCATTGATTACTGATTTATTACAGTGGAATTTCATCGCGTTGTTTAGTTTCGTCGTTTGTTTAAATGACAGAACAAAGGATTTTATTTTTCTGTATTTAGGTCGCGGGGTACTTATGCGCGCGCACCTTACGTCCGTTTTTACTATCAAGTGCCTCTTACCGATTTGGGGATAAAGCCAGTTACATTAAACAGTTGTTTTAAATGTTTTGGTCGTTATTAACATTTTTAGATTTACTTCCTTAGTATTGTGGGACGAATTAAAAATAAAACGCGGATAAAAGTACAATTTGAACATCAACAGTGCAGTGATGTCATTTATTGTCACACTTTTCCTCATTTAGACGAACTTGCTTATTCAGTCACCATAATATAAACATGTTCTTTAGGACGCAGAGTTAGCAGCGCCCACCGTTGAAAATGTACGCGTGGTGGTCAGAGTCCGTCCAATGGACCAGAAGGAGACGTTGGAGAACTCCTACAACTGCGTCTCAGTGGATCCGGTGAACCACACAGTTGCTGTCACCCGTAACAATGTCACACCACCCGAGCCGCCAAGGATTTATGCCTACGATGCTGTTTTTGACAGTAACGTTAGCCAGGTAAGTGGTTTCAATGAACTTATATTAATATTATCCAGGTGTTTCACGTCTAGGGTCAAAGTACAAACCGGAAATGGGACAAAGCATTCACAGACTTAATTCTTTGTAACTTGTTTCTTTATTCCCTTTATTTAGCTTTTAAAAATAAATTCAATTCAATACCTAGTCTGGATTTAAAAGAGTCAACTGGGAGAATGGGGTTTATTTCTTTTAACTACAAAAGAATAACGGTTTCAGCTCTTTGTACGCATCTGTCGCTATGTCGTGATGCGAATTATTTCATTCTGTACGAATTAATAATTTGCAAAACATTTTGCATATTACTTTCATAATAAAACCGACATTTGTACTTATAATGGGCTCTATTGACAATCAAAAACCTCAACGATTAATTTATATTTCTTATTACTAATTTACATTTAGTTATACATGGTTTTCTCTACAATTTGAACGTACCTAATAAAGTACTAAATGTAAAACTATTTCATTATGCAAACCGTAATATGAGTCAGGTACAGGAAGCCGATTTCAACAATTTGTTGATGTACAGTCGGGCTTAATAACCCAGTCTTAAAAGTTAAATTAGTGACTTGAGTTTCTTGCGCTGCTTCTTCTCAGCACTGGCCCATTGTCCCGAAGCAGTGGTGGCGTTAATACTGGGACGTTAGAAATGCTTTTTAAAAGCCTGCAAAAATAAAATGAGTCTTATGACTTTTTTATAAAGAAGCTAATAAGTCTTTCAGTCATGACAATTTTTAAATTCTGATGGACCAAATAAACTGATTTCCTTCCTTTCATACATAAACAACAAATCTGTTGAATGCATCCAAATTTTTTTCTCCTTAATTCTTACAACACTGACTGTACATTCCAATAATTGTATTATGTCAGCGATTACAATTTAGAATGCTGAGTTGCAATGTAAAGAACTGTTCATTGTATTTTGTATTTTATGTACAGTGCAACTGGGCTCTTTATATGTAGGTAATTTAAAAGTATTGACCAGTATGAATTATTTTATTTTTTAATTAGGTGAATGCAGACAAAGGTAAGTGGCCAGTATTGTGTCAAAACCTCTATGCTCTATCATAGAGAGCCCAGAAGCACTGTTCTCCGATCGTTTCATTCACGAAGACGCGCCCCACCATTCTTCCGCTAATGTTTGAGTGTTATCGGTACACGCTAAATTATCCACGAGTGCACACGCACACTACAGTAATGACGCTCGGATTGCTCGGATCAAACTCCCCGCACCCCGCGCGACCGAGACCAAAATTTGGTGGGGCGCGTCTTCGTGGATGAAACGATCTTGTGAACTGTATTGACAATACATAAAGACCAATTTTGAAACTTTTATTAGGTACTAATACTATGGGAGCAAAAAGAAAGGTCTAATGTTTCTGCCCCTTTCCAAAACCTTATTGGTCATAGAAAGGGACATGGCCTTGGCCATATTAGTGCACAGGCTGTAAAAAGACAAAGTACGAAGAAGACATAAAGCAGTTGCAAGAAGACAGAAAGAAGTTGCAAGAAGACAGACGCTTGACCGGTCCATCCTTCGGCTCGACTGACGCCGTTATGCGCTTCAGTCTTGTCGAATGGTGGGTTGGACTTGTGTTTTTACATCAGTGACAGAAGAAAGAAGAATTTCAAGATTTTTTTGGCTTTTACAACATTCCAAATTCTCTTCAGAAGCGTTGTTACTTCTGTATTTTATTTATTCATACAGTCACCGTCAAATAGTCCGTGACGCTAAGTGGTCAAAAAAAAAGTTGCTGATATAACCTTATTCCAATTGTAACAAAGACGTGTTGCGAACTTTTTGATTACTTTGGGTGTCACGAATTATTTGACGCTGATTGTATGTGACTCGATTTTATGCAACTAGAACACTGCTTATTTTTTGTATGTATTCAACTTTATTTTGATACTTACGCCCGTATTCACAAACATTACTATGAGGTCGCACAGTGCGCGTAGACGCACAGAGTGACACATGGACCAATCACAGTGCTCTATTCAACGCTGTGCGTTTGATTTGTTGCTTCACTTAACCCATTTAGCCCTACCGTACCCTATGTGGTACGGTATCTTTTTGAAAATATTTCGAAGTACCAAACTGTTATTAATTTGTAAAAATGATTGTGACAGTAAGCTTAAAGTGATTATTTTACATAAAAATATTTAAAAATATGTTTCAACAAGTGGTTTCGGAAATATTTATGAAATTCCTCGACAGAAAACAAAAAAAATATTTACAATATATTTAAGACGGTATAATTTCTTATTATTCATGGTAAATTATATTATTTATCAATTTAATTTTAAAAATAGAGTACAATAGATATCATGACTACAAAAAAATATTATCGAGATTATTTTTATACGGTTTATTCCAGTCTAAAATAGGTGTACCGTATAAGGTACAGTAGGTCCATGCACGAGCAAATCGTGCGAAAAAATGTAATTCAATTTTTATTATTTTTATTTGTTTTAGGCAATTGATGCTTCACTTTATTGCCACAAATCATGAAAAATTTGATAATTTCAGCAAACATAAAGCAATGTTGGTATTTTTCTACTGCTGTCTTGTCAGATGACCGCTAACGATGATCAGACTGACGAAGATTTAGGCGATAAAGATAGTGTCAATGTAAATAATAACCCTCAGAGTTTTCTTCGATGGATTTGCTAAATTTCCATCGTCGTGTTGCTAAATGCGATTATGGATAGCACTAAACGTAACAAATCAGAAGAAGCCAGGTCTTCTTCAGCTATCCTCACTAACTTCGGAGAAGGTAGGAAAAAAGAACCAAATGTGGTTAGTATCACAGAAAACGTCTTACAAAATATGCCAAGTGTGATACTAGTGATTATATGATTTTATTTTTATTTTATGTCATACAAAAATAAATAAAAATCTTCTTTGAACAACAACTATGTTTTGCTTGCTTATAGACCTACTGTACCCTATATGGTACGGGCTCCCCACGGCCCCCTATTTATGGAATATTTTTTTAAATATTTTTTTCATGATTTTTAGGCTTCCCTTTGTAAGATTTTGCTGAAAAATCAATTTTTATTTACAAAAATAATTATCGGTCTAAATGGGTTAAGCATGTATCATTTGTGAATACGGGCGTTAGTATCTAATATTAAACTAACATTGCGATAATTTGTTGAGTATTTTTATAAATTCTACCATTTTCTAATTAAAACTCATCACTGCAGTAAAAGGCGTAAATAACAAATTCACAGTTTTATGTTGTACCTAATAAATATAAAATCTATTTTAAACAATTTTACCCGCGGCTTCATCCGTGTGAAATTTAGTTTGTCACAGATCGTCATAAATTACATATATGTTATTTTGGGTTATAAACAATAAAACCGTAAAGTTACAACAAAATATGTTCAGTAGTTTTTGCGTGAAAGAGTAACAAACATCCAGACATCCAAACTTTCGCATTTATAATTAGTAGGATTAGTAGGATAAATTTACCTGTGCCATTTGCTGCAGTGAAAATTATATTTACATCTCTGTGCGCGAACAAATATCTATTCCAACCCCGGCTTTCCCTCGGGGTGAGGGGAGGGGTTACGTGGGGTGTACCCCCGCTTCACCCCACCCCCCTATTGGAATTACGTTGTGCTCTCACAGAGCCCTGCAAAGCGATTCGATTACAGCTATAGAATTTTGAATAACCAATTTGATGATGCAGTATTACGTGATAAGCCTTTGATAAAATCATTATAAGATTATTGATTGTAAAACGGTTTTATTATAGTCTTTATTATAGTGTAAGAAAGCGATAATAGATGCTGGCAATTATTTTTAACGAACAATGTTGACTCTAAAGTTGTAGATTTAAATTTTTAATCGAAATAGAAATAAAAATTACAATATTTTCAAAATGGCCGGCGTCTATTGGAGCGGACTTTATATTCATGCTCTTAGACATTTTTCTTCTGTATTATCTGTCCCTTTCTTATTCCAGCATAAGAAAGAGATTTTTTTTAATGAGAAAACCAACAGCTTATTTATACAATTTATAGATATAGATAGTTTTAGTTTTGCTGTAACAGAAATAGGTGTTTTGTATGTTTGTGTTAAAATTCTAGTTTGTTTTTAAATGTGTTTGCGGTTTTGGTACAGTCAGCGTCAAATAGTTCGTTCCAAAGTAGGCAATAAGTTTGCAACGTCTTATTACAATTAGAATAAAGAAGAAACAAAAAACATACACATAATTTAAAAAAAGGTGGTCTTATCAACTTTTTGGCCACTTTGGGTGTCACGAAACTATTTGACGTTAGTCAGTACTTGATGTTCGAAATTCAAATAACTGTCAAAACCAACGGAAAACAAAATGGCGCAACGTTCTTAATGCAGCTCACGTCACGCGATCACAGATCCGAGGCGTCAGCGTGTTTGGTGCTTAATGCATCGAGATTGTTGCGTCAATTATCATCACTGAAGAGAAGATGGAAGATCAAAAAGAAACTAAAATTAAGAACTGTTTTGTTTATGTACAGCCAGCGTCAAACACTTCATGGCACCCAAAGTAGCCAAAAAGTTCGTAACACCTTTGTTACAATTGGAATAAGGTTGTTATACTTTTTGGTGCTTAAGACGGAATATTTGACGCTGACTGTACTAGCGATAGTACATCAGAGGGCCTAGTGTGAGTTTACATCAAAAAATGTCATTAAATGTACCACGGATTGTACAGCGCCCCTAGCGGGAAACGATCAAAAACTAAAATTTTCATACATTTTTTAATGTAACATCAAACGTCTTCGCTAGCGACTGCGTAACAAATGACATTAAACGTATGACGGATTGTACAGCGCCCCTAGCGGACACTTTCAAGAACTAAAATCATATAGATTTTTTGACGCTAGCGACTTCGTTTAATGCAAACTCGCACTAAGCATACTAACTATACTTTTGTACAAAATAGATAGTAACAAGACAATCGCCTGTATGAACTTAATTTTGC